GATCCCACATGCCGTGGGGCGGCTGGGCCCGTGAGCCATGGCCGCTGAGCCTGCGCGTCCGGAGCCTGTGCTCCACAACGGGAGAGGTCACAACAGTGAGAGGCCCGCGTACCGCCAAAAAAAAAAAAAGAAAGAAATCAGTAACAGAAATAAATTTGGGAAATTACAAATATGTGAAAATTAATACACCTAATACCCAATGAGTCAAAGAAGAAACCACCCAAAAAAGTAGAAAATACTTTGAGATTAATGAAAATGAAGACACAACTTATCAAAATGTATGGGATGCAGTAAAGTAGAACTTAAAGGGAAATGTATAGCTGTAAATGCCTATATTAAAAAAAAGGAAAGATCTTGAATCAGTAACCTAAACTTCCACCTTAAGACACTAGCAAAAAAACAAAAAAAAAAAGAAGAAGAAGAAGAAAAAGAAGAGCAAACTAATCCTAAGGCAAGTGAAAGGAAGGAAATAAAGATTACAGCAGAAATTAGTGAAATAGAAAATAAAAAACAATAGAGAAAAATCAACAAAACCAAAAGTTTGTTCTTTGAAAAGCTTAACAAAATTGACAAACAAGAAAATTGTTCTGAGCAAGAAAAAAAGGGAGAAGACTCAAATTACTAAGCCCAGGAATGAAAGAGAGGACAACTACAAATCTTACAGAAATAAAGAAGATTTTAAGGAAATGCTATGAACAATGCCATGCCATGCCAACAAATTCGATATCTTGGATAAAATGGACAAATACCTAAGAAAACACAAACTACTGAAACTAAGAAGAAATAGAAATTTTAAATAAAGCTAAAACAAGTAAAGAGATTGAATTAGTAATTTTAAAACATGTCACAAAGAAAAACTCAAGCCCAGATGGCTTCACTGGTGAATTCTACCAAACAGATAAATAAGAATTAATACCAGTTCTTCACTTGGGAACACTTCCCAACTCATTCTATGAAGCCAGTATTACCCTAACACCAAAGCCAAACAAAGACATCATAAGAAAAGAAAACTACAGACCATTATCTCTTATGACTATAAGATGTAAAAATCTTCAACAAAATACTAGCAAACTGGATCCAGCAACATATAAAAAGAATTATACATCATGACCAAGTGAGATTTTCCCCAAGCATACAAGGTTGGTTTAACTTCTGAAAATCAATCAATGTAATATACCATACCAATAAAATAAAGGACAAAAACTATACAATAATCACAGTAGATAAAGAAAAAGTATTTGGCAAAATCCAACACCCTTTCATGATAAAAACACCCACCAAACTAGGAATAGAAGGGAATTTCTTCAACCCGACAAAAGGCATCTATGAAAAAGCCATATCTAACAACATACTTAATGGGGAAAGACTGAACGCTTTCCCCCTCAGAAACAAGACAAGGATGTCTGCTCTCACCAGTTCTATTCAACATTGTACTGGAGGTTCCAACCAGGGCAATAAAGGAAGAAGATGAAATAAAAGACATCCAGATTGGAAAGGAAGAAGTAAAATTTTCTTTATTTGTAGATGACATAACCTTGTATATAAAAATTCCTAAGGATTCCACTAAAAAAATTATGAGAATAAACAAGTTCAGCAACTTGCAAGGTACAAGATTAGTATATAAAAATAAATTGCATTTCTATACACTAGCAATAAACAATCCAAAAATAAAATTAAGAAAATAAATTACAATATCAAAAGAAGACTTAGGAATAAGATTAACAAAAGAAGTGCAAAACATATACTCCGAAAACAACAAAAATTGTTGAAAGAAATTAAAGAACTAAATAAATGGAAAGACATCCCATGTTCATGGATTGGAAGACTATGCATTATTAGGATGGCAATAGTCCCCAAACTAATCTAGAGTCAACACAATCCCAAACAAAATCCCAGCTAGCTTCTTTGCAAAAATTGACAAACTGACCCTAAAATTCATATGGACAGTCAAGGGACCCAGGATAGAAAAAACAATCTTGAAAAACAGAAACAAAGCCTGAGGGCTCACACTTCTCAATTTCAAAACTTGCTGCAAAGCTCTGGAAATCAAGACAGTGTGGTACTGGTATGAGGATAGACTTATAAATCAATCCAGCAGTAAACACTCACATTTATGGTCAATTGATTTTTGACAAGGGTGCCAATATAATTAAATGGAGAAAGAAGAATCTTTTCAATGAATGCTGCAGGAACAACTGGATACACTCAGGCAGAAGAAGGAAGTTGGGCACCTTCCTCAAACCCTACACAAAAATTAACTCACAGTGGATCACAAATCTAAATGTACAAGGTAAAACTTTAAAAATCTTATAAGAAAATACAGGCATAAATTTCCCCACTTTGGATCAAAATAGTTTCTTAGTCATGACACAAGCAACAAAAGAAAAAATAGATAAACTGAACTTCATGAAAATTAAAAACGTTTGGACTTGCCTCGTGGCACAGTGGTTAAGAACCCACCTGCCAATGCAGAGGGCACGAGTTTGAGCCCTGGTCTGGGAAGATCCCACATGGCACGGAGCAACTAAGCCCGTGCACCACAACTACTGAGCCTGTGCGCCACAACTACTGAATCCCACACACCTAGAGCCCGTGCCCTGCAACAAGAGAAGCCACCACAATGAGAAGCCCGCACACGGCAACGAAGAGTAGCCCCCGCTTGCCACAACTAGAAAAAGCCCATGCACAACAACGAAGACTCAATGCAGCCAAAAATAAATAAATAAAATAAATAAATTTACAAAAAAAAATTAAAAACGTTTGTGTGCCAAAGGACACCATCAAGAAGGTAAAAAGAATCCACCAAATGGGAGAAAATATTTGCAAACCATATATCTGATAAGGGACTTGTATCTAGAATATATAAAGATCTTTTACAACTCAACAAACAAAAAGAGAAATGACCCAACTTAAAAATGGACAAAAGATCTGAATAGACGTTTCTCCAAAGAAAATATATGGCTAGTAACTGCATGAAAAGATGTTCAACGTTATTAGTCATCAGGAAAATGCAAATCAAAACCACAATGTGATACCACTTCACACCCACTAGGATGGCTTAGTGCCAACAAGTTGTTGGCAAGGATGTAGAGAAATTGGAAACTTCATACATTACTGGTGGGAATGTGAAATGGTATAGCTGTTTTGAAAAAACAGTCTGGCAGTCCCTCAAAAGGTTAAATATAGAGTTACCATATGACCCAGAAGTCCCACTCCTAGATATAGACCCAAGAGAAAAGAAAACATATCCACATAAAAACTTGAACATGAGTGTTCATAGAAGCATTATTCATAATAGCCAAAAAGTGGAAACAACCATACGTCCATCAATTGATGAATGGGTAAATAAATGTGGTATATCCATATAACAGAACATTATTTGGCAAGAAAAAGGAATGGAGTACTGATACATGCTACAACATGGGTGAACCTCGAAAACATGCTAAGTGAAAGAAGCCAGACACAAAAGACTAGGTATTGTATGATTCCATTTACATGAAAGTTCCAGAATAAGCAAATCTATAGAAACATAAAGTAAACTAGTTGTCACCTGGGGCTGGGGGAGGAAGGTTTGAGGGGCAGTGGAGACTGACTAAATGGGTTACACAATTTCTTTTGGGGGGTGATGAAATTGTTCTAAAATTGATTGTGGTGATGGTTGTACAACTCTATGACTACACTAAAAACCATTAAATTGTACCCTTTGGGGGAGGGATAAATTGGGAGGTTGGGATTGACGTATACACACTACTATATATAAAACAGATAACTAATAAGGACCTACTGTAGAGCACAGGGAGCTCTACTCAGTGCTCTGTAATGAGCTATATGGGAAAAGAAGCTAAAAAAAAAAGTTTACACGTGTATAACTGATTCATTTTGCTGTACAGCAGAAACGAACACAACATTGTAAATCAACTGTACTCCAACAAAAATTCAAAAAAATAAATACATACATACATAGATACATACAAAATAAATAAACTGTACACTTCAAATGGGTGAATTGTCTGGTATGTGAATTCTATCTCAATAAAGCTGTGTTTTAAAAAAAAACAACACTACACCAGAGGCCACTGTTCATCTATTAGATTGGCAGATCCCCAAATTCTAGATCCACCTGTGTTGGTGAGAGCGAGGGGAAGAAGAGGATGCAGTGTGAAGGTACATCAGTGCCACCTCCGTGAAGGACCCTCTGGCCATATCTAACAAAATTACAACTGCACACGTTCTCGGACACTGCAATTTGGGATTAATCCTAGAGGTATCCTCATACGTGGACACTAAGCACACGATGGAAGATATGCATTGCAGAATGGTCTGCAATAAGCAAAAGGCTGGAAACAACCAAAAGTAGTCTTCTCTAATGAAACAAAGCATGGTCTCCATCCACACAATGAATACTACGCAATCAGGAAAAAGAAAGAAGCAGCACTAAATGATCTCCAAGGCACACTGTCAAGAGCAAACAGTCACATGTAGAGCAGAGGGTACCATGCATGATCGCTTGAGGTTTTTAAACTATTTTTTCTAATATCCATGCTTACATATGCCTGGACTCCCTGGAAGAACACACCAGAAACTCCTCCCATGGCTGCCTCCAGCAAGGAGACCTGGGTGCCAGAGAGGTTTACTTTTCCCTGCCTTCTTCTGTACTGTTTGAATTATTTTTTACTGTGTGTGTTAATGCTTTTTCTTTCCTTTTTAAGACAAAAGTTGACATATACACACTACTATATATAAAATAGATAACTAATAAGAATCTACTGTATAGCACAGGGAACTCTACTCAATACTCCGTAATGACCTGTATGGGAAAAGAATCTAAAAAAGAGTGCGTATATATGTGTGTGTGTGTGTGTGTGTGTGTGTGTGTGTGTGTGTGTGTATAACTGATTCACTTTGCTGTACAGCAGAAACTAAAACAACATTGTAAATCAACTATACTCCAATAAAAACTAATTTAAAAAGAAAGAAAGAAAGAAAAAAGACAGGTTTACCTGGTATCAGATCCTGGTGCTCTCTCTCATAGCTGGGAAGTCACTTCATTTGTCTGAGCCTCTGTGCTCTGCAAAGAGAGGGATAATAATAGTATCTGCCTTGCAAAGTTGTTGTGAAGGATTAAATAAGACAAGGCCCCGCACGCACACACGCACAGGGCTCCCCACCGTGTCTGTGTCTGGCTCCTAGCAGTAGGTGCATGGTTCATGCTGGTTATTAATACGTTACTACGTACACCAAGGTGGATTGTTAACAAGTGCCACCAGGGAGACTTGGGACCAAGTGTTCAGAGCATCAGCAATCCCCTCCAACTGGGAGGAACTAGGAAAGGATTCCTGGGGGAGGCAGCATTTGAGAAGGGCTTCAAGGTCGTGAAGGAGGTCCACAAATAGAGATAACTGGGGGCTGTGCCTCTGGCAGAGGGAGCTGTGCAGGCAAAGGCCTGGAGGTAGGAAAGCCCTGGGTATTCGCTCAGTCGTTCATTCACTGGCTCCTTCAACAAAGCTCAGCTGAGCACCGACTATGTGCCAGACACTCTCATAGGAAAGACAGACAAAGCCAATAGCTGGACCATCGAAGGGAGGAATTACAGAGAGTGTGAAGACAACAAGGGGCTGGGGCAGAGCCTCACCCAGGTCCAAGTGTTCATAGAGCAGACCAGGAAAAGGAGGCTCAGAGAGGGAGAGAGGCTACCTAAGGTCACACAGCACCTTCTCAACTTCTGGAAAGGTCCTCTCCCAGCTCCACCCTTCCCATGTCCCACGAGCCTGGAGAAGAGAAAGCCCACAAGGGCCATCCCAATGTGCACTCATCACAAGGTGCATAAAGATGCCACCTAAACGGGGGTCCCCAACAAAGAGGGGGGACAACTGGTTCTCAGACGATAACAGCACCTGGCTGGTGGGTAGAGAGACTCCTGTGTGCCAGGCACCGTGCTGAGAAGTGCACTACATCTGCGAGCCCAGGTGGAGCCTCTGCAGCCCTATGTGGTCAGCCCCATTTTGCAGATGAGGGAACTGAGGTCCAGAGAGGTCAAGTTACTTGCCTAAGGTCACACGGCTCATAAGAGACAGCATCGGCAGGCAGACTCGGATTGTCTGGGCTCCGTAGCCTCAGGTCCCAGGGCCCATGGCCCAAGGGAGCCACTGCCAGGGCCTGTATCAGCAGTCACATCCCTTCTCAAAAGCACCCAAGGTGGAAGCTGTTCTCAGCCAGTCCAGGAATGTCTCCTGATAACAGTGGCCCAACCGGGGGTGGGAGGAGTGGGTGGTGGTGGTTGTGCGGGGAATGGGGGGGAGGGGGCGGCAGGAGGGACACAGCCCATTTGAGTCCATCTGTCCTGCCTCTGGAGAGGAGGAAGCAAAAAGGTCCCATCAGGCACCCATCAGAGTCAGGCGGGTTGCAGCATCCTGGTTAAGGGGGCTCCTGCTGTGGCCCTGGGAGAACTCTGGGCAAGTCAACCAAAGCCTCCTTCAGTACCATGGAGACATCCATAATCACCCCAGACAGTTGCAAGAGCAAATGAGCTAACCACGTGTGCCCTGGGCACGCAGGCCATGCTGGATAAAGGGGGGGTGGGGGGGGGGCGCGACCACCACTGCTACCTTATTATTTCCATTGTTATTGTTTAGCTCTCCAGTTCCCACCAGGACCCTGCTTCACAGGGACGATCAGCCCCCATCTCCCAGAGAAGGCAACAGAGAGAGGCTCGGAAAAGCCAAGTCAGCTGCCCAGGCCACCATCCAAGACAGCAGAGGACCAGCTGGGGATCTTGGCTCTCCTGGCCCCAGGCCACTTTGGCCCCTCTCCCCAAGGGCACCAGTCCCAGCTGGGCTCTCGAAGGGAGTTATCACACCAGGGACTAAGCAGGGCCCTCAGTCAGTCCTTTTTCTACTAGGGTAATGGAGGCCAAGATAGGGGGAGTGGCTGGCCCAAGGCCACACAGCCCAAGAAGGACCACTTACGGAATGAACCTGTCACCCTTCTGAACCTCCAAAGCTAGGTCCCCAGCTGATGCCCCACCCTCCTCGCAACAGCCCTAGGGGGCAGGTACCACCAGCACTGGCCCGTGTCCACAGGGGAGGAAGTTGAGGCTGGAGGAGCGTGGGAGAGGGTGCCGGCCCATCACGCCCATCCCAAAAGTGGGGGCTGTGACCCTTTCCTGCCTCCGCTGGAGCCTCCCACACGTAGGCAGGAATCTTCTGATTCCCTTTCTTCCTTCAGACTCTCAAAAGAATGACGTGCTCAACTGAGGTGTTTTTCTACAAGTGGTTTCGGAATATAGAAGGGAGTCCTGCTTCAGAGCAGGGGAACATCAATAATGACAGTAATAAGAATAACGGCAGTAGCAACAGCTAATATTTGTTTAGCGCTTTTTTTTTTTTTTTTTTTTGGTCGCACCGTGTGGCATGCAGGATCTTAGTTCCCCGACCAAGGATCAAACCCGCACCCCCTGCAAGGGAAGCGCAGAGTCTTAACCACTGGACCGCCAGGGAAGTCCCTATGTGCCATTCTTTTTCTTTTTTTTTTTTTTTCCTATGTGCCATTCTTATCACCCCATTTTACAGAAGAGGAAACGGAAACACAGACAGGTTAAATGATGTGATTAAAATCCCGCCTCTTAGCAGCTAAGTGACAAGTTCCTCCCTCTCTGAGCTTCTCCCTGAAGGGGGGCTGCCACCCCTTGGGCCACTGGGAAGGACCCAAGGAAGAAGCCAGGGCCACGGCCAGCTCAGCCCCCTCCCCAGAACTCAACACCATTGGCTGCTCCAGTGCAGGCTGGTGGGGTGGAATAGGGCATGCTGATGGCGGTGTGGAGACCACACCTTTCCCCCTCATGCCCTCCCACCTGGGGTTCACACTACCCCTTCCATGCTCCCAACAGCCTTGGAACAAGCTATGGCCACAGTCATTTTACACATGAGCACACAGGGCTCCAGGAAACTGCCCCAGCCAGGAAGTGGAGTGCAAAGGCCCTGAGGCAGGAAGGTCAGATGTGCAGGTCTGGACTGAGTGGGTTCCAGCTTAACTGGGTCGCTGCAGGCACGAGGAGGTCGGAGGGAGGCCCCGAGAGGGACCCGTCCAGCAATTTAGGTCAGAAAGACCTGAAAATTTGAGAGAGAAGCCCATGAAGATTTTCTCAGGCCCCTGAGTGTGCTGGGAGGGATGGGGGCGGGGGGGGAGGAGGTTACTGAGGCTTCATCCCACAGTGATCCTATCAGAGCGCAGTGATCAGCTTCAGAGGAGACACCTAAACCATGGTGGACTTCCCAGAGGAGGGGACATCTCAGCTGAGGTCCAAAGGCTGAGCAGTTTGTGAAAAGAGGAAGGGGAAGCATGATCCAGGCAGAAGGGATTACTTGGCCAAAGGCCCAGAGGTGGGACCATTTAGAGAAAGGCAAAGAGCCAGGTCAGTTTAAGTCATGTAGTCTCAGTTTCTCCAGCAGCAAAATGGGGGGAAAGACAGGCACACAGTGGGTGCCTCCGTCTCCCCCACACCCACTATCTCCCTTCTCCAAGGCCCCCACCCAACAGGAAGGGCACTGGGAAGTTGGCTGCTGGGTCCTCCTGCCATGGAGCATCTTTGGGGCTGGTGAGGTTGGCAGGGTTGGGAGGTTTCACTGACACCCCACCCCCCCGACACCCTCTACCCCAGAATCCAGGCCAGGCAGCCTGTCAGGTGGATGGGGAGGGCAGCTCACAGGCCAGGAGGCCACAGCCCTGATCTCAGAGAGCTTTGTGAGATCTCCCCCTTCACAGATGTGGAAGTGGAGGCTCAGAGAGGAGAGCAGTCAGCCTCAGGTCACACAGCAAGGCGGAGGCCAGCTCTTGAATGAGGGTGTGGGACTGGGACCCGGACTGAAGATAAGATTCTTGGGGCACCACGCCCAGGAGCGCTGGGCTGAGGAGGAGCTAGAAGAGGAGATGCTGGCCCCAAAGGACCACAGACTAGGCAAGTCCCAGGGACCCAGCCAGACACCACCTGGCCCGGCCAGATGAGGGCTGGCCACCATGTGGCTAAGTGGAAGGCCTCCATCAGAATCTCCATGTGGCCTCGGCAGGTCACGCCCCCTCTTGGGCCTTAGCATCTGCCTGGACAAAGGCCCTGGCAGGCCAAGGATTCCTCAACAGAGCCCAGCCTCAGTGGTGACCACAGGAAACACTGAGGTGACACGTTTTGCTCTCTCCCAGCCTCTCCAAGGTCATGTCTCCCAGGCCTCGCCCCTGTGGTTCCACCCCCGCTGGCTGATGGCCGACAGGCCTTGGGGGGACAGATGCCAGCCGGCCCCTGCCCACAGTGCCCGCTATTCCTGCCAGCAGCTCTGGCTGCTTCCCTGCTCTGGGAACACACAGTGCCCCCTCGTCCCCGCCCCCGCCCACACCCACGCAGGAGCTCCGTCCAGGGACACGGGTGGGCAGAAGCACCTGGAGGCCAGGCCCCTCGACACTGTCGGCCCTGTGCTCAACCCCACACACTCAAAGCTCACAGGTTCCACCCTGGACATGTGACCTCAGGATGGTCCAGGCCTTCCCTTATTCATCCATGAAATGGGGGCTCTGGCAGGTCTCTGAGGGAGAAGGCATCCAAGCCTGAGGTAGAGCACAGTGGTCAGCAAGAGAGCCGAAGCCCTTAATGCTTCTATGGGCTGTTCATGGGATCAAGGCCAAGGGTGGAGGGGCGTCTGTTGTACGCTCCCTCCTCCCCACCACTTAACCCTCCCTGGACTCGTAATTACCCTCTAGCCTCCAGCCCTTTGCACATGCTGTTTCCTCTCCTGAGGCTTCACCACCCACCTCCCCATGCCCCCCATGAACTCCAGGGCACCCTATGGGCCTGACCACAGGTCATACTTGACCTTGCCTACCCTCCAACTGAGAGAGGTACCTCTCTTTTTCTGGGCTCACATAGCCTCCATCACATGGGGACTAAGAGTTGTACTGCTTGGGGACTTCCCTGGCGGTCCAGTGGTTAGGACTCAGCGCTTTCACTGTGATAGCCTGGGTTCAATCCCTGGTCGGGGAACTGTGACCCGAAAGCTGTGCGGTGCAGCCAAAAAAAAAAAAAAA